TTCCAGCAACAAAGGCTGATTGTGGCCGAAGATCAACAAATCAATTACGACCACCACACAGGACTCAGACACTACCCGAAACGTATTGTATGTATGTGTCACGTACATCAACGGGTGTATCTTTGTATGTACCTAGCGCCAAATATCCACATGTACATATGACTGTGTCGATCACATAGACATAACGCATTGTACGACTATACCACTTACATAAACATAGGTATGTGAATGTATTGATGTGGGTTCATGCTTGGCAACATACTGCATACATCAAGCCTGCGTGTTTATCGAAATGACTGCTGGTCAATAACTGTATTCGAAAGGTGCGGCTGATTGTCTACGCTAGCATGTTATGGCAGATTTCCGATGTGATGTGATTGCCTTGTTGCAGCCAACTTCTATCCATGGCGTGACGATGTGATGTGATTGTTTTGTTGCAGCTATCTTCTATCTATGGTGTGGCAGCTCTGCCTTCAGGTGGTCGCAGTTGGTGGCATGTTGTCATGACTCTAGTGCTCGAATTGGCGCCTGTCGCATCCCACGTATACGTCCTAGATACTACACTTCACTCTATAGAACGATAGACCACTGTACTTGATTGTGCTGGTGTGTATCGGTAATTGCTTTAGCTGGTGTGCATATTATAGCTAGCAACCGTTGCTATACTCTCCCTAGCGCATTAGCACTCACTCCATGCCGAACCGACGTGTACATTTGAGTTTTAGTTCTGGGCAAAGCTGTGCCTCTGTCCCGAGCAATGCCCAACAGTCTACCTACCGTTTTATTTCATCCGTTTGACTTCGGTTTAATGCAGATATTAAAATCTCCGTCCAGTACCACGGAAGCTACCCTCTACCCCGTCCCCCTCCTGCCCAATCAGTACTCTGAGCCCGAAAGAAAGTAGGTCTTTTGCCGATAAGTATATACTACCTCAGCAATACAATGTCAATATGTGTGATACACTGTGATGTACCTCAGCAATCCAATGTCGATAAGTGTGATACACTAAAAATTACCTCAGTAATCCAATGTCAATAAGTGTGATGCACTGTGATGTATATTTCGTCCAATGCAAAATGTGGCCGCACACGGCGATGCAAGTGCACAGACATTTGTGGTGCCAAAATATCAGCAACACCGCACTGGTTGTTGTGGATGCTAACGGCGGTGTATAGTAGCAGCGACTTCATTTGGACAGGCCTTCATACTCTCATTGAGAAATACGCAGCAATGATGTAGGTGGGTTTAAATACTCGTCATCCTGTAGGTGGGTATTAGATACGCAGTCATACTTCGGGTAGGTAGTCATACTGGAGGTAGATATAAGGTAGGTGGTCATGCGGTAGGTAGGTATTAGATACACAGTCGTACTGTAGGTAGGTATCAGATACGCATTCATGTAAGTTGTCTGTAAGATACAACTCATCTCACTTACGTTGCATGTATACACTCTACGACCAACTGACCAATTTATTTGTGTCGGGCGTGTTGGCTATACTCAGGTGCAGTGCCAAAGCAGCAGCCCTAAAGTACAGTTATTCGCTGCAGTCCGCGCCCGAGGAGGTGCACAACGACCAGAGTGAGACCGAACCCGCAGAGGAAATCGAGGTAGCTGTATTTGTAATGCAAACCTTATACCCTAGACTCCTAAACCTTAAAACCCTCATATCTTATCGACGATTCGTTGGCTTCGTAACTACGAGATAGCCTCGTTGTGTGGTTTGACCTGAATGTTTGTGTTGTATTGTCCATTGATAGGTATGCGGTTAGTGCTGGAGAGCTTCTGGCGTAGTTTGTTGTACACAGGCCCTAATTTGTACTCAGTGGTGCATAGATTGCCCACTCATGGGTCAACTTCTGCAGATATCTATACATTCCCGTGCGATAGAAATCAGGGCCAGTACAACCAAAAATATATGTTAGTGATCGTGTTGTGGGTATTCTGAGAGGCATGACCGATATCGTCCAGAACGACTTTGGCCCAATCACCTGAGGGTTCAGCGAACCCCATAAGAAATCGGGCTGCTTCGAGGATGGGACAAAACCAAACACGTGTTTAAACTCAAGAGCGCGTAAAAAAACACGTGTTCAACTGAAAAGCGCGCACTCTGGATGTGTCTCCACCGCACTGTCACCTGGATTCCTATGCATTTGCATGGGGTGATTTACTTGTATATCAACAAGCGGCTGTTCACACACAAACGGTACGGTACTTACGCTGCTTGCTACACTCCGCATACTTCAGCCACCAGAACCTAGTCCGATCCCAGCCGAAGAACCAGAGGAAGAAGATCCGGTAAGTGCGTTTGATCAGCAAGACAATCATACGCACGTGTGCACATATGTGAAGCTGTTGGTGTGAGCGTGGTTGTGGATGTGCCTGCTTACCGATATAGATGCTTAACAGTTGGCAGGCATATCCAGATGTGTGTACATTGTATAGATGTACTATACAGGCATATCCATATGTTTGTACAGGCATATCCATATGTTTGTACGTTGTATAGATGTCCCATTCAGGCATATCCAGATGTTTGTATGTTGTATAGATGTACATTCTATAGATGTACTTTACAGGCATATCCAGATGTGTGTACGTTGTATAGATGTCCTATACAGGCATATCCATATGTTTGTTCGTTGTATAGATGTCCCATACAGGCATATATCCAGATGTTTGTACGTTGTATAGATGTACATTCTATAGATGTACTATACAGGCATATCCAGATGTGTGTACGTTGTATAGATGTCCTATACAGGTATATCCATATGTTTGTACGTTGTATAGATGTTTTA